GAAATCTTGCCATTTGCAACTACATGGATGGAACTGGAGAGTATAATGTAAGTGAAATCAGTCAGTCAGAGAAAGACAAAAATCATATGACTTCACTCCTATGAGGACTTTAAGAGACAAAACAGATGAACATAAGGGAAGGGAAACAAAAATAATATAAAAACAGGGAGGGGGACAGAACAGAAGAGACTCATAAATATGGAGAACAAACTGAGGGTTACAGGAGGGGTTGTGGGAGGAGGGATGGGCTAAATGGGTAAGGGGCACTAAGGAATCTACTCCTGAAATCATGGTTGCACTATATGCTAACTAATTTGGATGCAAATTTAAAAAAATAAAAAATAAAAGAAGTTAAAAAAAAGACAAAATATACAATATATAAAGGAAAAAAATAACAAATTTGACTCCATACTTCCAACTTTTTCTATGGCCAAAACACCATTCAATTGTTCAAAGATAAACTAGAAGAAAATATCTGGAATGCTTGGAACAAAATATTGGAATCTAAAATATATAAGGAATTCCTACAAATCAATATAAAAATGATCAATAAGCTCATAAGGAAAAAAAGTCAAAGATATAAAAAGCTGACTGGCAGAAGAATAATACGACGAGTAAATACATAAAGACATAAAAATTTAGTCTTAAATGCAACTAAAAACACAGTGAATATTCTCATTTACCAGATCTACAAAAATTAAATAATGGGGAAATAGGAAGGTAGAGGAGAGAGCTCCTCTCACACAATTGTTGGTAGATACATAATTTGTTTCAGATTTTTTTGAATGCAATCTGATTTTAATACGTGAAAAATTATAATATGCATATCCTTTATCCTAACAATCCAAGTCTTCTCTATTTTTCTCAATTTTCTTAACTTTTTTTCAAAGAATACAAACATTAAATGCATAATACGAAAAGACAGGCTATTTTCATGGGATAAAAAGATGTCATTTATCTCACACACAGAAAAAAAAATGTCACTTATTTAATCTTTCTAAATCTTTTATTGGTATGTCTGATTATAAAATTATCCGTTTAGTTATAATGCCTCATCCTTTCCTTCTTTGGTGATATGGTTGGGTAATATAAGCTCTTAACCATCTAAACATAAATGGGGGTGGGAGGGTAGCGTACCAAAGATATAGATATTCGCCAAATAAAGATAGCCAGTTTCTAAATAACTGAGATTTGCCAATAGCTGAACAAAGCATATTCACATACAGACTTTTAATTCCCAAGTCTGTCACATAAGTTTTCATTTTACCCTATTGTTACAAAGTAAGCTGGTCTACTGATCATAAAAATTGTTCTTTCTTTCCCAACACTAGACAGATGAGACCCTCATTACAAGTGTCACAATCTATCTACTTCTTTACTCATATACATACATATTACCAGAACATGTCAGAACCGAAAATCACCTTGTATCAATTGATTCAATTCCCTCACATTATATGAAGAGGAAACTAAGGCCCAGAGAAGTGAAGAGAGGCAACATGCCAAAAGTCACAGTGCAAATAGGAGAGTTGGACAGGAACCCACTTCTCTGGATTCCAGACCCAGTGAATATCCTTTCCAATATATGACATGGCCTGGACACTGTCACCCACTGAACTACCCCTAACTGATGACATGGCCATTCAATGGTTAGCAATGTAAATAAGAAGTGTCCAAGAACCTCTGGTTGTTTGCAGATGGTCTCCAGAGAACCATGATGACAAACAGGATCATGGAGAACAGCAACCGCCAGATGGCATCATCCACCCACAGCTCCCGCCAATCCTACCAAAAGGGGGAGAAGCACATTTTTATACATAATCTTAACTCATTTCACAAAGTCCTTAGCAGAGAACAAGAATCATTTATTTATTCGTTCAACTTATACAAACTAAGGCCCTGCTATGTGCTAGGCACTGTGCTAAGTACAGGGAATAAAAAATAAATGAACACTGTTTCTTCCCTGGTACTGTTTATTGCTAAAGAAAAGGCACCATACTTTGGTGCTTACACTATGTTTCCTATAGCTCTGAGAATCTTTAGGGAAGGACTTTTATACAAGGTAAGAGAAAGTAACGTTATGTTATTTTTTATAGTTTTCATTTTATTTATTTTTACCAGCTTTGCTCTGGCTTCCAAAGAAATGTTTTGCCAGTCTCTGTGCTCAAATCTTAAGTACAGGGCTTCTAGTGAGTAGTGTTATTCACATGTACTTAATGTTTTGGACTCTGGATTTCTTGTTGAAACTTTTTAGTTAAGGAAAGATTGGGTTATGACAAACTATGACGATCATTTATAACGTTCTCTCTCACTATTGGGATATATAGTCAGTCCTTTCTCCCAACGTCTACCCAAAAAACCCATAAAACAAATCTATCATACTAAGCACAGTGTTAATATAGAATACTTAGGAGGAGGGAAGGATTCTAACCCTCAAGAGTGGAAACCTAACCCTAATTTCCTAAAAGGTATGAACCTTACCATTGTCATCAACATCATCGTCTGTGTATAGAACAGTACACTATTCACAAATGCATGTGTTTATAACTCACCGACTGACAAGTCACTATCCTGAACTTCATGGTTGTCCAGATGATAAACACAATAGACGCTAACAGGAAATGAAAAACCTGGTCACAGTATGAATATTAGTTTACATCCCTAATTACATTCTCTGAATCTAGTTAAGTGGAATCCCACACATCCCTAACTCCCAATACATCACAATCATTTTCTCTGTTATTTTAACACATTTATTCAATACAAATTTACTTACAACTGCTGTAAGCAAGGCCCACAATTCATACTCTAGCCAATTCTTTCTGTAAATAATAGTTTTGTTTACCATTTGGCTACTTTAGTCATCCTCAGAATTGGAAAAGAAGGTATTAGAAACATGGCTTTTTCCAGCATTATCAATAATATGATTTTTTTCCTTTTCTTTAGCCTTAGTATAATAATGCTAATTTTTCTTTGGTTGGTCGGATGGAAAAAGAGGTTGATAAAATGACTGCAAGACAAACAGAACTGTTGGTTCCAATTATTGGCCAGACCTCTTTATTCCTGGTACAAAAGCCAAAAGGCCGGCAAATTAGCCTACATGGGCTATAGTCTATGCTAATGGATATGTGTAACGAATATGTTATGCACGTTTAGTGATATATGTAAAGCCAATATAATAGCAATGTACACTAATCTAAAATCTAAATACAATTCTATATTTATTTTAATAAAACCAAATAAGCAAATATTAACATCTTCTAAAAGAAATTTAAATGCTGTATGGTACTAGTGCTCACTTGCTTCAAAAAAAAAAAAAAAAAAAAAAAAAAAAAAAAAAAAAAAAAAAAAAGAGTATCTCAGAAAAACAATGGAGATAGGAGAGAGATATACCAAGAGTTGAAATTATATGTAGTTGATCTTCACTTATTAAAATAAGTGGTTCTAAACTTTTTTTGTACCACAGACCCCTTTGAGAATTTGACAAAAGTGAAAGACAACTTCCCCAAGTGAAATGTACAAAACTTTTTATGTAATTTTAGAGAGCCTACCTATGGACTCTCAGGTTAAGAATCTCTGTTCTAAAAGAACTGCATTTAAACAGCAGGGAGCAAGTCTCCAACTTACCTGCCACTGCCAAGATAAGTGTGTTGGTAAAATGTCGGTACAAAGAGAGTTTTACAATGTTCCTCCGAAGTTTTAACAGCTTCATTGTTTGAGTCAGGCTAATAAATATGTGTTTGCAGGTCAAGGAAATCAACATTCAGAAAAAACAATAAGCTAGTAAACTAATCTTTATATTTCTTTGAGAATCTGGGGTCAAACTGACAGAGTTATAGACACCAGGCCTAACAGCTCTCACTCTCAACCTCACAAATACCCCAAGCCTCACCATGATTAATAAGAAAGTCTTCATTTTCAATGAGACTTAAAGAGAACACAAAACCCAGAGAAAATGAGAATGCAAAAGAGAAGAAAAAATAAGAGGAAAAACATAAAGGAGAAATAAAGATAGGAAGAAGCTTTCTAGAGAAACAAGGAAGAAGAACCAAATGAAAGACAAAAGGAAGAAAATGAAATAAAAATGAGTTAACAGGCAAAAAACAGGAGTTAGCATCCTCTTTCCTCTTTTAAAGTAGTGGCTCTGTTCTCATTGTCCTAGCTAATCCAGTCTAGAGTCACACATTCATGCCCATAACCTCCCACAGTTTATACTCAGTCCCCTTGTGCCATGTTAAGGAAGCTGCCATCAGTTGCCTGAGTTATCCTGAATGAAAAGGACCATACAATTACAAACTGGCTGAGAATCCCAGGCAGTTAGGCTCTAAAAGCAACAACCCTCCATTTTCAAGACATTATTCTTAAGTACAAGCTGCTGCACAAAGATAGGAAAACTAATGACCAATATAGACGATTACCTGCTCTGATGTTCAACTTTCAGAATGAGGGGCAGATATGAAAGCAAGTGTGTTGGAGCTCACTTCTGCCCTTTAACAGAGCCTTGGCTGCTACCTAATTACCGGGTCATCTTCTTGTATGGTCCAGTCCCTCTCCCCACATTTCTCAATATGCGTGGTAGAGGTTCACAAAGCACCCTTGAAAGATACTGACCTAGAAAAGCTTCGGCCTTTTGGGCCCAGGATACTTCAATTTCAAACATTTTTGATATAGGACAATCCCCCCAAATTCACAAAATTACAACTTTATTTACATTCAGCCTTTTATAACAGTCACAGTCCATCAAGACTATAATATCACACCAATTATATATAGGACCAAATACCACAAAAACCAAAATAAATTTCTAAAAATCCCCAAAAGACAAAAGTCCAAACACCCGAATAATAGGTCAAGTCCCTAATAAACAAATGTTTACTCTTGAAAAGCAAGAAAAGATTATTCAAATAGAAGCTTGTTTGTTATCTGCTGGTTGACTTCTCCTGTAAATGAATCAATATTTATCTCAAAGAACGGAAGTCTTCAAACAATCCCAAGTCTACTTTTAAATTAGAGGATTGAAACACTTATCCTGTTATCCTGTATGGGTTAAAATCTGCTAAACCTACTTAGAATTTTAAGAGAGTCAAACAACCTGGGGGCACCTGGGTGGCTCGGTTAAGCATCCAACTTCGGCTCAGGTCACAACCTTGCAGCTCGTGGATTTGAGCCCCTCATCGGGCTCTGCGCTGACAGCGCAGAGCCTGGAGCCTGTTGCAGATTCTGTGTCTCCCTCCCTCTCTCTCTGCCCCTCCCAGTTTATGCTCGGTCTCTCTCTCTCTCTCTCTCAAAAATAAACATTAAAAAAAATTTTGCTTTTAAATAAAAAGGAGTCAAACAACCTCATATAGTTCCTAAAATCATATTTTTTTTTTTTCAACATTTATTTATTTTTGGGACAGAGAGAGACAGAGCACGAACGGGGGAGGGGCAGAGAGAGAGGGAGACACAGAATCGGAAACAGGCTCCAGGCTCTGAGCCATCAGCCCAGAGCCCGACGTGGGGCTCGAACTCACGGACCGCGAGATTGTGACCTGACTGAAGTCGGACGCTTAACCAACTGCGCCACCCAGGCGCCCCCTAAAATCATATTTTAAGAATCAAAATACATACATAATTTTCAAATGATTTAATAATTGCCAGAGGCTGAAAGAAATAGCAGGACCAGAGCAGTCAGTGATTCTAACACTAAGAGAGATAACATTAAGCCCAAAATTGAAGTGAAATGCTTATTTTTAAAAAAGCCAGAAGCTTTTATCTTGTGCTCAGTCTACAGTCACCAACTCTTACTGCAATTTTTAAAATTAAAAACAAAATAACTGCTTACCTGAGCTCTCAGTTCATTAGAATGAAAACACCCTATTCCCAAAGTAAAGAGTAATCAACAAAACCGGTAAAAACCATTTGCAGAAAGATCAATGGAAACCCATCTCCAAGGGGAGAAAATGGACCACCATCAAACAAGCCAATGAGAAGGATATCCACCAGCACAGGGCAGTGTCTAGGAAAGCCAAGGGGATAAAGGCCAAGGAAGCAAGATCAGTCTGGGCCTGCAGACAAAGAAAAAGAGGTGGTGAAAAAGAGATGTCTAGAGAGCACAGAGAAGAAACCAGCACATGATTCTGCATTTACATAATCATCTGGAATGATTTTGCATTCAAACTAAAAGAAAATAAGGAATACTTTGTACCTACACCATTCTTCCCTTCTGACAAACGATCACATTGAATATACAGCTGTAAGCATTTCACACAAACTGTTGATTACAATGTCAATACAATAAAACATGCTGCTAACTAATAAGAGGCAACCACCACAAAACTCCTAGCATGCTAAGATCCATGTTAAGAAGTGACACACTGAAAAACTGTGGTGTTACAAGCCGACATTCCATTCTATCTCCTATCATTGTGATTTTGGCTACATGTCTAAAAAGACCGTTCACATATTTTAAAGTACTGCAGCATTAATATATTAAGAATTACTAATTTCCAGAATTGTAATATAATGTAAATCTACAAATAAGAGCATACCCCAAAATAAAATGTAAGGCAAATTATCTGTCCCCAAAACTATGCTGTTTGTTTCACACATTTATGTATATAAGCTGCTATTTATATAACCCTGATTGCCCAATCACCAGGACATTATTGAAAGGATATCCATAAAATAATACAGGCATCAATTGATGAGAGGGCCAGGTTTCCTATCAGAGCCAAGGGATAAGAAAAAGACTACAGCAGCATAAGAAAGAAAACGAGATAGAATTAAGATTAAAATTGCTGAAAGTCGAAGGAAATTACATAGAGGAAAGTGTGATATGAAAAACATATATGCATCCATAAAGAGTTTTATTTTACGGGGCAATTTATTGCAAAACTTACAGAGCTCAGTTTTCTTGAGGGCAAAGTCAAATTTACAGTATTTGCCACCATGAATCTAATGGGTTAATGCTGGGAGTAACTTTTAAATAAGTAACTGCTGGAATGACCAAGTTCTTCTTCACATTAATCCACCCCTAACATAAATTTCTTTATCATTTATATCTCAGTGCTTTGGTTCCCTTCCTGGCAAAGGGCATGATTTTATAATCCTCAAGAAGGATGTGAAACATTTAGTTGCATTTTTAGAAAAGCCTTTGAAACTCAAGTGGTGGTTAGCAAAGAGCACTGCCACTTTAAAACAATAAAAAAGATTATGGAGCAAGTACATGATTAGCATGTCTGCCCCTTACACAAGAATGAGAGCCCCTGTCTGGGAGGAGGAATAAATAGCAATATGGGGACAGGAGGGAAAGCATTCATTCCTGGTCACACATTAAACTTACAAAGCTCTAATAGATTAAAAAGAAAATTTGCATTATACATACATTTTGAAAATCAGAGTTCTAAGGTGACTTAGAAGAAAAAGCCCACAGACATTTCCAATTCACCCTTTCAAGACAAAAACGATATATATGAACTGACCACAAATACTCAGATTAAGCAGTACTGACCCCAGTAACTCTGAGGACCCCTTCCATTCCAGAGAACAAAAGATAGAGGGCTCCTGCTACCACAACTTTGTGAAGAGTGACTCCAAGTCGAGGCCTAAATAGAAGAAAGCAAAGACAAGAGTTGAATATCAACGCTACAAACTCCAAAATAAGCTAAGTAACAGCAACTCATGTTGATTAATACAGGCCTACAAGTTAGCAGAGATAAGCCAGACATACTTGATGTATCTGAGGAAAAAAAAAAAAAGGAAGAACAGATAGTCTTAAACCAAGAAAGTGAATACCAGAACTTTAGATCTGGCCCTGGTTACTGCATTTAACGTTTTAAAAAAAGTCATTTTTATTACAGAGAATTTTCAAACATTCAATAGTATAATGAACCCCTCTATATGTATCATCCAAAAACCACTAACCCATGGCCAATCCCACTTCATACAAGCCTCATCCACCTCCCATCATCCCATATGATCTTTCAGCGTATTTTTTTTTTTTAATCAATAAGGACTTTTTAAAAACCTAACCACAATACCATCTTCAAATCTAAAAATTTTAACAATATAAGCAAATATCCTATTGTAACTCATTAGATAACCTGTACAGTTGTAAGCTCAGAATCCAACAAAATATAGTCTTCCAAACAGGTTCTTGAAGGAAGTCTTGAATCCATGACATTCAAAATGCCACCCAATCAGAATCTACATTTAAACAAGATCTCCACGTGATTCATTAGTGCACTGTAAGTCTGAGATGCACTGCTGTAAATCATGTCTACCTAAGCCTAAGTGATATTTGTGCTTGTATTTTTTTGTTATATGCTAGCAAAGTTCTGTATGGGCAAGGATTTTTCTCCCTACTGTCATATCTTAGAAATCTACTTCCTGGAACATAGGAGGCACTCCAATATTTATTAAATGAATTAAGTAACTTTACAAATGAAACCCACCCCATTCCCCTTATCCCACTGAAAGCAAAACTCCTTTAAATGAATAAATTACAAGAATTGAAACTCAAGTGTGCCTGGGTGGCTCAGTTAGTTAAGCGTCCGACTTCAGCTCAGGTCATGATCTCGAGGTTCCTGAGTTCGAGCCCCATGTCGGGCTCTGTGCTCATAGCTAAGAGCCTGGAGCCTGCTTCAGATTCTGTGTCTCTTTTTCTCTCTGCCCCTCCCCTGCCTATACTCTGTCTGTCTCTCAAAAACAAATAAACATTAAAAAGATTTTCTTTTATTAAAATTCATTTATTTAATCTCACTTAAAGCAAGACTACTTGAAATAACTGTCTATACCTGGCTAATTCCAACTCCTCTGCTTCTATTTTCTCTCTTGAAGTCACTCCAATCAAGCTTTTATCCTAGCACTTCACCAAAACGGTCTTGTTAAGGTCACTTACATCTCCCATGAAGTTAAACCCAGTGGACTGCTCAACCCTCTTGATACAATCACTCTCTCCTTGAAACAGTCTTCAGGTTTGCTTCTCACCACAATGGTCCTTCTCAACTTCCTCTGGTCTAATTCTATTTCATCTCACTGAATTCTAAAGAATTAAAATTGTTCAAGGTTCAATCCTTTGACCTCTTTTCTATAAACACTCACTTCCTTGGTGATCACATCCCAGTCTCACGGCTTTACATAACATCTATATATTGATGACTCCCAAATTCATATCTCTACCCTACTCTCTCCCCTTTATTCCCTTTGGGCATCTAACACCTCCTAATATTCACTCTACTCCAAACTTATTCTATCTAAGGTCTTCCTGAACTCATAAATATCAATTCCACCATTCCTTGCTCAGACCGAAACAGCTGGCATCATCCATGATTCCTCTTCTCTTTCACATCACACATTTGATCCATCAGAAAATTCCATTGGCTCTACCTTCAAAATATACACAGAATCTGACCATATCTTAGGATCTCTTCTTCTAAGTGTACATATAGTTCCCTCATCACCTTGAGATCTCTGCTTAATTGTCACTAAGTGAAGCCTTCCTCGGCCACTGTATTTACAGCTGGAAGCTCCACTTCTTGCTTGGCACTCTCTAAATCCTTCCCCTGCTTTATTTGCTCCATAGCACTTATCACTGAAATAAATATTAAATATTTTATTCATTTATTTTTATCTTTGTCCCCTCCCTCCACAAATGTAAACTCCAAGTCTTTTGTTTACTTGCTATATCCCCAGGGCCTAAAACCCTATCTAGTATATAGAAGGCACGCAATAAAATTTTTTGAATAAAAAGTAAATTATTTTCAGACTCTTTTTTCAGACTGAATGACACTCCCATGAAAAACTGTGATTTGCAAAAATATTTTGGAAGATTAGAAGTCACTGCAATTTCACTCTAAAAGTTTGATGTTTTAATTGTCATTCATTAATTATATTGCAGATTTTCCTGCAAATGCTCCTTGGTTCTAAGAAGTGAAATGAAACGCTTTACATTTCCTGGCTTTTATAAATCTACAAAATTTCAGGTAACTGTCTTACTGCGGTTCTTACATCAATTCTTTCAGAATTACAATGGGAACCTGAAATACTGATTCAATTTAATCAGCATTTTAATACGTTCTTCCATATAAAAAGTTAATACTTACTTAACTATGCCATATCCGAGGCTGACTATGATGACCAAGGTTCGAGCCAGTGAGCGTTTAACTGCTGATAGCAGCTCTGCAAGGATCAGAGCACCCTGAACTGTGAGAAAGAAGCAGGAAAGGGTGCTATAATCTAGGTTTGGAAAAAGGCGCGACTCTAGAACCAGAACATAGAGCTAGATCTCTAACAGTCGTCAGAATAAGCATTGGGATTATCCTGTTCAAAGAGAATACCTCTCTTGCAATTTTTACAAGTACACAAGCTGATTTTACTTACCTTGTTCATGTGAACAGCAATCTGGGTGTGCTCAAATCACCTTCCCTCCCCAACCCCACTTCACTAAAACCTCAGGAGAACATCTCACCTACCTGACAGTTTAGAACACTTAGGAACTTTCCCCCATTTTTAAAAACTGAAGAACACACATTGAAAATATATAAACACATTGAATATATACAGTGAAAAGTACAAAATACACAGTTTTCAAATCATTTTCACGCCCTTTCAAAGACAGGGGAAACTCTAATTAGTAATCTTACGACAATAATCATTAAAACTTAAATGTCTGACGAGAAAGAACCAAAACCATCATAAAAAACTTCGGTACAAAACAATTTCTATCATTACCTGTTCACTTTAGTAAACCTACGCACCCTCCTATTTTCCTGATATTACTGTATTTTACCAGTTCTTGGATTTTAACGTCTTTGAAATCAAACTATGTCCTACAATCAATGGTTATCTTACTATTAAATTGGCAGTAATTATTTCTTTTTCAGATGCACATAATAATGGTGCCTTAAAAATCAAGGCAATTGAGATTCAATGATGGTAATAATCTTACCCAAAATGGCCACTACTATTGTAACTTGTATATTTTGGTACCATCACTTTTAAATCACTGAACCCATAAGTTATAAGGCTAAAAACAAGAGTCACGATCATAATGATTATGCTTAAGTTATTCTAGTAATTAAGTAACTGAGAAGTTAAAACCATTAATGACTGCTGATCTGAGTTAAACTGTCACATGTCTTACCTGCCAATCATTCACAAACTGGTGAACATTTTTTGGTTACACACCTGATTCTCCTTTGTATCGAATATTCTGAAATTCTGCATAGAAGACAGCTTTCTCAAGCATTCCCAAGAAGATGACAGCACCAATCCAAAACTGAATTCTCAGGAGATCTCTCCAATAGCAGGCAGACCATGCCAGCCACAGAACACCAAACAGGACATATACGATGCACATCACCATGAAAAACTGTCATCCAAATGGGTAAGAAATAAAAGGGAAAATTAGGGCCAAGAGCCAATCTGGAATCAATACGCAGTCTTAAACTATAAAAAAAAAAAAAATTCTACCCTCTACTTTAAGAATTTATCTCGTTGGAGTTCCATATTAACGTAAAAAAATGATCTCCTCTTGCATATTGAGAGACTACCTAAGGACCTATGAGTAAGAGTAACCGCTCTTCTGCATTACAAATGCATTTTCAGCTCACTATGTAAAATCACACAAATGAAGATAACACTAAAGAGGAAAAAATATGGCAGGGTTATGATACATCTGAAGGCAATGAAACATAACAAAGTGGAAAAACTATGAAAGGGAAAAGAAGAAAACCATGAACAAAGGAAATCTGAAAATAGAGTAAGGATATTCCCATAGACACAGACACACATGAGGCAGTGTCATCATTTAGTTACTTTAAATGGGATCAGAAACTATAGGGCTGTAAGAAGTGCCCTGCTTTGGATTCTAGAGAGAATGTGAGATGTGCAATTATCTGTGAGGTACTTTCCAATTCTGAAATTCCACAAGTCATCAATCTCCTCATTCTACAGATGAGAAGACAAGGCACAGAGGAATTCACGGACACTCTGAATGTCACAATCCAGTAAGAAATACAGAACTACAAGCAGTATTTTCTGAACTGTTCAGGAAAAATTCTTTAAAGAATATTGCCACAAAACATGGACAATCTTTCAGGTTAACTCATGTAATGTTAAGGTTAAAGAATGTAAGTTCACTTACAATCATCAATGGATATTCTTCAAGCGTGAGATATTCATACGGACCCTTCACTTCAACAGTCACTGCCAAAACACAGTCCTCAGAATTAATGTAAAGGATGCAGAAATTAAACAAAAACGTTGTGCAATATTTGATTGATGAAATTAATGAAAATCTCATTGGGTTAATTTACTTTTTATCATTTCAATTCTGGTGAATATTATTTATAGAGCACTCTGAAATTCACGGTTTTATATTCTCAAGGTTCATGCCGTGTACCACACAAACCTCCACTCTCCGCTCCAGTCAGTATCCTAAGTGGAAAAGCCCTCTGTTACCATATACACATCCTTTAAAGACTAGAACGAATGTATTTCCTCCACAAAGCCTTCTGTGAGCTGCCCACTGGAACTATAACCCATCTCCTCTAAATTCTAAACACCTTTTATATATACTTTTTCTTATAACACATCACTAATGTGCTTTGAAAGGTACAGGACTTCATTCCTTCATTCTGCTGTCCTCTTTGTCTTCTATCTATCTTTATCTGGATTTTCCTATTACTTTATTTTTTTTACCTATTTCAATTTTATGTGACTTTGCGACATTAATGTATCATTTTCAGAAGGTACGTAATAAGTGTTTAATGATAGTAACAAGAATTTAAAGACAGATTTGCCTTACTGAAGCAAAACTATGACTATGTTTTTTACTGTAGTGATATAAGTGATAACTATATCCAGAGACAGACTAATAACTGTCTAGTCAATGAAAATTTCCTAGTTTTTATCAAGCAAAAAGGACATACCATTGTTAAAAGTAAACCTGGTCCCCCTCACCAAAAAAAGTAAACTAGGTCCAACACTCATATAAATGAGCATCCCACAATAGCCATAATGAAAGTTTTAAAAAAATTTTTAACATTTATTCATTTTTGAGAGGCAGAGAGAGACAGAGTGTCAGTGGGGGAGAGGTAGAGAGAGGGGGAAACACAGAGTATGAAGCAGGCTCCAGGCTCTGAGCTGTCAGCACAGAGCCCAATGTGGGGCTCGAACTCACAGACCACAAGATCATGACCTGAGCTAAAGTCAGACGTCTAACTGACTGAGCCACCCAGGCTCATAAATCATAAAAATTTTAAGCAGACTGGTTATTAAATCTATACCTTCTTAACTTAATAAAAGAGCAAATAAAATAATTATTTATTATTTATTACACCCTTTGTTTACTCCATGCTAGGGGTCAGCAAAGTACAGCACATGAGCCAAATGTGGTTATCCACTTTTTATAAATAAAAGTTTTATTGGAAAACAGCCACATCCACTTACTTACATATTATCTAAGGTTGCATTTACACAACAATGGCAGAGTTGGGTAGCTGTAGTAGACAGAACATTTACTCTTTGGCCCTTTAAGAAAATTTGGCTACCCCTTGCTCTATGCCACAACATAAAATAACATTTATTGAGCACTTACTATGTGACACACACTACAGAAAACAGGAGATAAAAAGATACATAAGATGTTTTCTGCTAGAAGGGACAGTAGGAAAGCAATATAGAGAACTATCCTTCTGAGCCAGTCCTTAAAGGATGAATGTGTATTTCCCAGGACAAAGTAAAAGGCCATCTGGGACGAGGAAACAACATGAACAAGGACAGGCGTGAAAATGCGTGATATATATTTAAAGAACATGTAGTCTGAGGCTGCACATAGTACCATATAGTAGCATTTTGAAAAGAAAGCAGCAAAAGGTAAACTGGGACAAGCTGCAGAGTTTTATAAGCCTTCCTGCAGAATGTAAACATTTTACAGGCGATGGGGAAACATCAAGGATTTACTGAAGGGAAAAAAGATGGTAACAGTGTTTTCGAAAATTCTAGGAATTTCACACGGTGTAGTCAAGTCCATGCTTCAATGTATCTTCCTCCTAGCTCCAAACAATAGATGAATAAAACAAAACGAGGACATAAGCCCGAAAACAAGATAAATACCTCCAAATATCACAACTGAACAAAAACTTAGAACAGTATATAAGGCTGAAGCTATGGTCATGTTTGACTCTGGGCCCAAAAAGCAAGCTACGGCAGTTGGGCTCAAACTTGGGAACAGCGAGATCATGACCTGAGCTGAAGTTGGACACTCAACCAGCTGAGCCACCCAGGCGCCCCTCCATTCTTTTCAAAGAAAGAAGGCTGAAAGTAAATGTTGGCAACTGCTGCCTTAGATTACAACTTACTAGAAAGCTGTGGCCCTAGAAATACAGGAAGATACACATATGTCTTAGGCCCAGAAACTGTGCCAGGCCAGCTGCTGGCTTACCTAGATGCTATACCCCATATAACTATGGAGCATAAGAGCCACCTCTGGATTAGGAATTAAAAGCATTCAACCCAAGAAACTATAAAAAACTAAAATTTTAAATTAAGTCAAACAAAAGAAATAACGAAATAGCAAATACCAATAGTTTGTTGGTTTGTTGTATAGTAAAATACAATTCTATAAAGATTTAAAAAGTTAAAAAAAGTAGACACAAAGACAATAATAAGAGTGAAAAGAGAGGGTGCCTAGGTGGCTCAGGTGGCTGAGCATCTGACTGTTGGTTTTGGCTCAGGTCATGATCTCATGGTTCCTGAGTTTGAGCCCTGCATCAGGCTCTGCTGACAGTACAGAGCATGCTTGACACTCTTTCTCTCTCCCTCTCTCTGCCACTCCCCCACTTGCACACTCTTTCTCTTTCAAAATAAAAACTTAAAAAAAAAAAGAATGAAAAAAGCTACAGATACTTCTTTTTTTGCAAAGAAATACTATTAATAACTTCATGCCAATACAGTTGAAAACTTGAAAGATATGGACAATTTCTCAAAAACGACACTGATTCAAGAAAAAATAGAATCACTAAAAAAACAACATATTATTAAAGAAAATTAGTCAGTTGTTTAAAATCTCTATGGAGGAAGGGAAAAAAAGAACATTCGGCCAAAACACTATCATAAGTTCTACAAAACATTCAAAAACTGGATAATCCTACCCTTACAAAAACTACTCCATAGAATTTAATACAGGGGACATTCTCCAACTCATTAGACTAGCATAACCTTGATGCTAAAACCCATAGATGACAGTATGAGAAAACAAAATTATAGGGGCACCTGGATGGCTCAGTCGGATAAGCATCCGACTTCAGCCTGGGTCATGATCTCACGGTTTGTGAGTTTGAGCCCTGCATTGGGCCCTGTGCTCTCCATGCAAAGCCTGCTTCAGAGCCTCTGTCCCTTTCTCTCTCTGCCCTTCTCCTGCTTGCTCTCTCAAAAATAAATAAAACATTTAAAAAAAAAAATATGTCATAAAAAAAA